GGACCGGGCAGTGGATGGAGGCAACGTTTTGTTTGAGTTCTTGAGGCATCCTTTTAGCCCAGTGCCTCAGTAATGTGCGCATCCGTTCTCGCTCGCTTGGCATGCGCCCAATGTTTGTCTGCTTTTGGGCATTTCGGCCCTGGGGAAATGGGTCAGCGAAAAAGCAGCAGCGCATAATTTAATTGCCAGCATTCACAGCGGCAACTGCAACTGCAACGTATTTCCAATTACAAAATTCAAACTTTATGCGAATATTTAATAACTAAGCAGCAGCCCAGGCTCGCGTTTGTCACTGCCACAGGCCACATGCCATATGCCACATGCCACACCCCGCCCCCACAAGCCTTTCTGATCGTAAATCATGGGAGTCAACTTAAAAATAGGCGCCTCCTGACATTTCGGCGCGATTGTCAGTCATCGGGCAGGGCATTCGCTTAATTGCCGCACATCTGTCTGGCCCAATGCAGCAGCAACAGCAGCCGAGATCAGCTAATACCCCCCCACAACACATATTCCACACCCTTCCCCTTTAGAAACACATTATGTGCGTGGGTATCCGCCCCACACCCCAGCGCCCCTCTTCAGATGAATTTATGACAACTAAGCATAAATAATTCAATTCGTGCGTGTTTACAACATTTATTAAATGAAGTGTTGAAGTGGGTGAGAATTACGCCCACACACACACAAGCGCACACAAGCGCACACAAACACACACGCACAGACACGTAGCTACATCTCCTACATGCGCGATTCTATCAATATATTTTTTGAATATAGCTCGTTGTTGTAGCTTGCTCTTGAAAAAAAAAGCAAAGAAAACGAAAGAAAAAAATGGGCAAAGTCGGTTTTGTAGCTGGGACTTGCGGCAGCAGCAGCAGCCTTGCCTCTATCTATCCATCAAATGAGTCATAAGTGTTCAGACTTCCGCCTGTCTAGGGTTCAAAAAACTTCAAATTCAAAAAAAAAATATATATATATATATATATATAAAAACACACACAGATTTGCGGCGCAGATTTGTGTAACTATTTCTTGAAAGTAAGGTTGTTGCCATCATCAGTTATTCAGGTATTTCAATCGCTCTGCCTCTCTCTCTCTCTCTCTCTCTCTCTTTCTCGCTCTCTCTGTCTCTCTCGCTATCTCGTATTATATTTGGTGACCTTTTGATTGGGTTTTCTATGCTTAACACAAGCCTGTTGTATCTTCAATTTAACAAAATTGTATAATTTTTGCTTTTGTTCATAAATTGTTTGAGACAAACAACTTGTTTTGTACTTATCGATTGTAACTTTTACAATTTATCGATTAAGAGCTCCCAATTCACATTACTTTATTTCGAAGAGCTTTCCTTAAGTTTCATATCATCTTTATCAATGTGTTATAAATCTATTTTGTTTTCATTTTGTTATATTAAATTCTAGACGTTTCATTATTTTATTTGCTTTTAATTCTTCGTTCTCGCTGAAAGCTTCATATGCTTACTTTTGTAATTAGTTCATAAAAAAAGCCTGAATCTCCTTAATTACATTAAACTCGCTTAAAAGAATTTTACCTTCCAGTTCTTACCGCTGAGTGCACAGAGTTTTTGCTGTGATATAAATATAAATTTTCTAAAAGTTTGTTAACGATGTTTAACTACAATTATATATTATATGTTAAAACCTCTTTAGCTATTTGATAATATTTTTCTTTAACTTTCCAGGTCAAGTATCTTTGGTCTAACAGTTTTTCTTAATTTTCTTTCTTTACACGTGAAATATTTTTCACTCATGGTCAACTTTATTTGCAGGCTCCTTGGCTTTGTGCAATCGCCCGGAGCTTGGCAACTGTCCATATGTGGGCATCTGTTGCTTTGGCCAATTTATGATGTCAGCTACTGTAAAGCCCGCCATGTCAACTGTCGACAACAACAACACTAAAACAAACAATGGCAATAGCAATGGCAAAACTATTTAAAATAACAACAGACAAGTCGTTAACGTCATGGAATTATAATTAAAAATCTGAACAAGCCGTCGGCTCTGGCAACGAACTCTCCGCTCCTTCAATTATACGTCGCCCCCGTCTATTAAACAACATTATTATCATCGTCGTCATCATTGTTATAAACATTGTGGTTTGTATATTTGATAATTGACTTGGGCTTAACGCAATTAACAAAGCGTACGATTGAAAAAATATATAAACTCCATCAACGATATAATGATAAAAAATTAATTTAACAAAAACAAACAAAAAAAAACAACAAAAGCAAAAACAAATATATATGAAAATTATGCATTGTACAGATAGCAACAACATACATTTGTTGTCATTTATACATGGTCGTATTTAAAAAGTAATATAAACATTAATAAGTTAATAATCGTTCACAAAGCGTTGCCGCCAGAGGCTGCATAATTAATGTGACTTCTATTTGGAGGAGGCTGTTAATAGATTGCATGAATCGGAATTATTGGATGACGAACAGATCCCATTGCGTTGATAATTCCAATGATAATATTTAATATGAATATTGATGATATCATGCGATTACATATACAACAGCCGAAGAACAAAAAACAAAAGGGTGAACAAAGAATTTGATTGACTTTTTTGATTGACCAAGCTGATACGCTAATCTTTACATAAACACAATCAATCGACAGTTTTCACATTGCGGAAAGCAAACGCGTTTCTATTGAGCAACAACGAAACCGAAAACGAAAACTTGAGCGCAGCGCAACTAACCATGAAAATCAAATAATCAAAAACTAAGCTGTACGCTCTGGTCTGGCCGGGCCGGGCCAGGCCAGGCGAGGGCATTAATTACCTACAACATTTTTCGTATGCCCAACTTCCGGCAGATGAGCGACGACTACATCTAGCATATAACTATTATTATGAGTATGTTTACGATTATGATCATCGGCAAGTGGACTTTGGCAGCGATGCTCTCCCCAGCTAGACCAGCCGGATGGCAAACGTAATTGCTGGCCATTATGGCCAAGATGTATGAAAAATGGTTGGCAAAAGTTTAGGCCAAGCGACGCGCATACAACACGAGTCGCGAGTGCAAACATGACGAAAACAAATATAGCAAGAAAGAAGGACTAAAAATGGTAAGTCGAAGCTTTAATACACTTTCAAATCAGTTTCCATATAGAAACACATTTTTTGTGTGAACGTATATAGAGCTATATAGATATATGATTAGTTTTCTGTGTATACGATTTTGCCTGTATGTAAGGTGCGTGGAATAGCTGGTATATGTTTTAGAAATCTTGAAAAAAAAAAACCAACGAAATGTATGATTTATCATTCCCAAGTAGCTTATAAGATATAGTGAACCGATCTGAACACATTCGGCCAAACGGACATGGCCATATCGATCCGACCATCATTACTGATATACACTTTAGACGTCACGAATACCCTCTGAACGAGGGTATAACAAAAATCTGTGTATACACACCATTTAATTATGCGCATAAAGCTAATTAATTAGCGCCAGGCAATCTGCCGTCGCGACGCAGTCCATGACAAATCAGATAAGAGAGACAGGTGTGCAATAGCACGAGCCAGCTAACTTAGCCTCACATAAAGCCAGAGCCATGATTCAGCCAAAAGCCCAACTGCATTTTAATTAACATCATCGCAATGGAGCCACTCATAATATATCATATGAAATATTTGCGGCGATAATAAACGATATATAGCATATATATACATATATATATATGTAATGTACGACTAACCTATTCGCAATGGTTATAACGGAGAAAGGTTTTTTGGATATACATGTTATTGTAATATAAAGCTCCTAATAGATGTTCATTAGCTGCATATTAAGCGAATTGAGCGATGATCTAATCACCAAGCAGTTAATTATTAACGTTGAAAGATGGTAAACAGCTGAATTATTCATGGCCAAAACTTAAGATAAACCATTGTCAAGGCTTTCATGTTATTATAGCTCCTTAGACATAAACTTAGAAGTTGAGCTCATCGCCAAGCTTTAAAGAATCATAGAAGCAGAAGAGTCTATGAATTGGTCTTGTCTGGGCACATAAAGCTTAGGGTTGCCAGCTCAACAGAATAAATTGCAATATTTCATTTCGTGGGGTTGCCAAGTATTCTAATAATTTGCTCTCTGCCCCAATAACAAGACTTTCTGAGCTTTCTACGCCCACTCTACATCTATTAAAATTGGTGTTCAGCCAAGGGTTGCCAATGTTTCAAAACCAAATTCTGTTGCCTGACTTTTTAACCTCATGCTTTACTTCTGTCACTCACAATTACCTAGAACTAGTTTGCGCATTATTACTGTTCTGGAAAAACTGAGTTGTTTAGTTGTTTCTTTAGCTAAGTCCTATCCATTTAGAGTTGCCAAACATCTTAAGCTGTTATCCAACACTAGACTATTTAGACATCATGTCAATTTTCCATCAATGATTATATAGTATGCTTGATATATATACTCAATAGGGATGCCAAGACTCTATTCCCACTTAAACTTTTCTACTCTTAAACAGACTCTTAACTTGAGCCCAAGCTCCGAGTTATGCTCAACACTAGTAATCGTAGGCTAGCTCGGCGCAACTGTGAGAAATTCATTGCGATGCAAATGAGGGCCGGATGCGATATTAATTAAATCTTTGTATAAAACAAAACTTTAGCTCTAGATCTGATTACGTTTGTTGCGAAGAAGAAGCAAAGACAACTTTTCAATTTACTGTTGTCAAAGAAGTGAGTACTGTTTCCCCCAACCCCTAACCGTGCCCGGTGACTCGTCTTGCCAATTTATTTTCATTGGCAAACATTTCGCCAAGGACACTAGATCCAAAAAATAAACATATACACAATCAGGGCCTGCCCAATAACCCCTACCCCATTTTTATCCCATAATGTAAGACTGAGTATTTTTTTTTTTTCTTGCTGATGGAAAGTTGGAAATACTCTACGGCTGTAATTTTGGAGCCTACCCCTAATAGACTTTTAATTACCCAGTTACGTACCTTTGTGCTTTGTTCTGCTGGCGCTTCGGGGGCCGTGTTGATTTGTGCGCAATGACAGCATGAAATTACCATTAATTTTGGGCCCTGCAAATGGCGAGACGGAAACAGAAGCTGAAAACAAAATAGATTAGCATTAGGACAAGTATTCTATATATATATTATATATACATTTATAGGTATAGAGATTTGCATGAGACAGGACTGAGCAGCTAGAGCCAGCCAAAACAGAGAGACATGGCGATAGTAAGAGTGAGAGTGTTGGCTATATATACATTTATAACTATATAAGTAAATCGCGCAAATGCCTCGGTTGCATGTCAAGCTGGCATTAAGTGCCACCCCGTAAGTGCCTCAATCAAGGCGGACTCGCCCCAGCGGGACACTCAAATTGAATAGACAGGCGACACTTGATATGGCGCAAGGCAACAAGACTATCTATCTATAAGAATTGACAACTAGCTGGAATTATTTGTCACACAAAATTAGCGTCGAGTCCTGAACAACTCGAATTGAGCTGAGATTTTTCCTAGCGCGCGCATCATTTGTCAATGCGCGCCAAATAGTCAAGTGACAGGCAACAATAAAAACAATGCGACAGGGGAAATTGTTATGGATCTCTAAGGGTGGAGGGCTACTCGGTGCTTAGCGTGTTTGAGCGAGCGACATCTCCAAGGGGGTGTGATAAGTCGCGGGCTATTGATAGGAAAACGCGCACAGTGCTAATGTGTTTGTATTTGTGAAATCGAGAGATTAACATGAACTCATCGCTTGCCGATTTTGTGGGCTTTATTAGCATAGCGAATGTCAGCTATTGATATGCATATCGAGTGAAAGATAAGCTTTTAAATCGCATTCAATATCCTGGCTAGGGCTCATTTGTGCCCACATTAACCTATGTTGCTGTCAGAGCTAACACATTGTCAAACTGGTTGGGCATTTGTACTTTTCTGTACAGCTCATGACCTGTTGTTATATTCAGGACAGGATGAGATTGTTGCGTTGCCATCTTTAACTAAAATGCCTACTTGTCAACACCAAACGAAAAATGCTCAGTAGTTCGGTTGACGGTTCAAACCTCGCCTTAAGCCTTGGTTGTTGAACCTAAATTTGTACATCTTATAAGCCAGATTGGGTTTCGATCCTTCTTCTTAGCGCAAGCCCAATAAAATTTTGCAATATTTTCAATAAGCAAAAGAACAAAAAACCGTAAACTCATGGTTCAGTTCAGTTTTAGGCTCTTTATTCAATCAAGAAAAGTAAAGTTGCTGGCTCAAACCGTTTCGGTTTTAAGCTGTTTTGCAATCTTGATAAAAGATAAAAGCATTTAAGTTCTGGTCAAACAACTGGAAACTTCTCGTCAATTGAACTGCATAAAATTCAGCATTTAACTTCCACTCAAAGTTAAACTGCCGAGTCAACGGACATGAACTTTGACAGAAACATAATAAAAAGGACACTCAAATATTGTGAACTCAGCTCTCAGCGCTCAACTAGAGCAGACGCCACTTGAAGTGCCACTTGAGTTAATGCGCTCGGCAACATTGCAAGACCCATTAGCCAAATGTCTGTTAGCCACCAAGTGTCATATGTTGCTCGCAATCTCAACTAATTTTGGCAGCTGCTTTCAATCAAGCAACACTCGACGATTGTCAATTGTATACCGCTTGTCAGTTGTCGCACGGCCAATGTTGAGTGTTTCGAGTTAACCTGCCATTTGAATACCAATTTCAATTTCAATTTCAATTTTAAATTCAATTCCCAAAATCCAAACCAATTCCAATAGCCAGCCGGGCAAGTGACCCAACTTGAACCGCATACAGATTGATACTTGAATGCGTTATGGCCAAAACATACTCGAAGTCGAAGCGCGGCCCAACTGACATTTCAATGGCATTTTGTGCGCGTCATTTGGGTTTTTCGGCTTTTCGCCTTAATATTTTTTCAGTTCATTTTTTATGGTTTTGTTTGCTTGTGCTTTGCATACTTGAGCAGCTGCTGGCACTGGACGGAGCAGAGTTGGAGCATTAGGTCAAAGCAATGGCCATCCTTGCATTTAACCCTCACCCCCACAATTATGAACAGCAATTGGAATGCAGCTCTGCGTTTTGTTTTTTTTTTATTTATTTTTTTTTTAATGTTTAGCTTTTTTGTATGCCGCGCGGCACGCTTACAATTTATATAAAATGCCCTTGAATCGCATAGTACGTATTTTGTTATTTTTTTATTTTTATAGATATTTATGGTGAGCTGTTAAGCGTTAAGTTTTCAATTTCAATAATATATTTATAGCCAGAAGGTCGCCCGCAGGCGTTGACAATTATAACCCGTCCCGCAGCCCGGCATTACCATAACTAAACTATCGAAAATCGGCAACATAAGAGTTAATGAGCGGCAGCTTAGCAGCAGGCAATGGCTCATAAATCATATTTAACATATCTAAATACTTTATGTATTATGCATTTAATTACAGCTGTATAAATTACAAATGAGCTGAGCTTGAGTCCCCCACTTGGGCGACATTCCATGGCAAGCTGCGATTGGGCTGGGGCCAAGAACTTGTTCAAATTATACGTTATATTGAACGAACATTGTCACAAAGATAACGATAGCCAGCCACGTCATAGCTGACGAAGTGCAGGCGACACCTATATCCGACATCGACTCCGACTCCTGTTCCGAATCCGATTCCATGCGCATATTATACAAAATGTTGCCGGGGCTATGCCTGGGGCAGTGCCAGCTGCCATTCAATTAGAATCTTGTCAACGCCCTGCGCACCGCAGCTGTTAACAGGCAGCTAGGCAGCCAGCCAGAGTACCGAGGACATCTATTGAATATGTTGTGCCCCTCTCTGAACCATTGCCGTCTTCCCGGTCTCGAGCTGCATGTCGCCCATTTTTCGTATGACAAAGCGTGCCATTGTTGATCTCCTGCCCAGGCACCGCGCCGTCGCCGATGTAGTAGCAGCCCATCAGCAGCTACCACTTAACCAAGGCAAGCATCCATCCATCCACACACAAACATACACACACACACACACAGACACACCCACATAGCGTCGCAGAGCAGGCACAATGGGCGAGCATGTAACACTTAATATAGATCCAGGCCCCATTGGACTAGGAGTGCATGTTGAGTAAACTTCATTAGAATTTCCTATCGAAACGATATTTTAAACGATCAACTATCGTTTAAGTGGGCTGATTTTTATTCTTTTCGATACGTTTTACTTTGTCGATAAGCACAAATTTGATGAGTATTAAATTCATCTCTATTGATTTCCACAAAAACTGAATTTACCCAGTTATCGATAATTGCATTGCGATACACTTCAACGCTAACAGCAAATATCGACACACACATTTATCGCCAAGCGATAAGTTATCGAATACCACACTTAAAGTCAAACGATATGTCAGCGATAATAATATTTATCGCTAAGCAATAAGTTATAAGTTAACTTCATTTATAGCAAGAAATAATTTATCGATATCGACATTTATCGCTCAACGATATGTAATCGTTAGCCACATTTATCGACAAGCGATATACTTTCAATAACGTTTCCTCTGTTCGCATAACTTTGTGCATCGTTGAAGCTAGCTGGCTTCTCCCATGGTGAATTTGGCGTCGGAGTCGCCGTTTGCTGACATGTCAGAAATTTTAACTGGCAATTTGCAGGAAAACGCACGCGACGCACGTACAACACGACCAGACACGGCCAGCCGGCCACGTGGACTGCTGCAGACGGGAGGGACGGCCATCGGGAGGGGAGGAGCGCGCGCACAGGAGCCACAAAAGGACAATCTGACAGGCAGACAGGACGAACGATTGGGTAGAGCGGGAGAGGCGGGGTGGAACAGACAGGCGAACAGACAGTGATACAGAATCAGCAGCAACGTCCTCAGCAATTTCCATGAGCGTGTGTGTGTGTGTGTGTGTGTGTGTGTGTGTGTGTGTGTGTGTGCATGCAAGTGTTTTCTTGTTTTTGTTGCATAGAACATGGCACAATATGTTGCCATGTCTGCCACTCCTCCGCTGCCGCCCCCAGCCACGCCTCGCCTCGCCTCGCGTTGAGTCTAGCTGCCACTTGAGTGTGCGGCGCTCTCTATCTCTGTCTGTGTGAGTGTGTGTGGTGAACATTTTCGGTAATGGTGTCAAAATAATTTGGGTTGTCATTTGTTTTGTCGGCCACCCAAAAAGGTAAGCCATATAAGCAAGCAGCCAAGTGTGGCTAGCATTGTGGTGGAGCTACAGAGGGCGGCGGCAAGTTGCGGTACTGTGTGGGAAAAGCTTTTCGGAATTTGACGGGATACACGGTCTCTAGTCTCTGGTCTCTGGCCAAGCTCATAATCAGCAGCGCTCTGCCTTAGTCAGGGCAAGTAGCCGCATTAAGCATTTGCGATTTTTAATAAGCAGCCAAACGCAGGCAGCTAATAAAGTATAGGTGGCGAATGAGAGCAGGGAGCAGGGGGTGTGCAGGCGTACACAGGCAACAGGAACAAACACATACATATGTAAATATGGGAGGGGCTTTGATGGGACTGTAGCGGAGGCAACGAGATTACCTCTTGTATTGTTTTTGCTTAGCTTTTGTTGTTTGACGCTTGTTTGGATTTTTATTAAATTTTTGTTGAGGGCTAAAGGGAACCCTATGTGGCTGTATGCGTGCGTGTTTGTTACTGAAAATATTAATTGATTTTCCTGTTTGTTGCTTCAACTCTGTGTGTGCTTACAGCTCTCATGTGTGTGCGTGTGTGTGTGTGGGTGCCTCGGACCCTTTCGCGCACAACAATTTTTCCAATTTTCAATAGCAACAGTTACCCCAAACAACGCAGCTCGCCCGCAACTCTGCGGCATTTGCAGACGCACAGTTGAATTCAATTTTTGTTTCGGTTCCGATACGATTCGATTTACAGTTTTTCAGCTAGCTAGCAAACGCGGCGTATGCGTAACGCGTTCCAGCAGAAAGCTAAAGGTAAAAAATGTTGCCTACTTTTCAGCGGAAGCGAGTCAACAAACAAGGCGAGCGAATGCAGCCACTTTAGCTTGATTTATGGACTAGCTGCCGCAACTAGCAGCAGGCCAAATGAATTAAATTTGCTGCAACA